GTTGCTACGTCCATCTTTTATACAGTCTATGATTAGAGGACAACCGCTCTACCACCTGAGCCACAGCCGCCCAACACAAGAGGGTTTTCACACTAAAATATAGTTTTTAACTTATGAATAATACAAAGTATATTGCTCTTGACATACTAACATATTGGTGTTTTACTTGCCTACTGCGTGTTTAACGGTTTCACATGCCTGGGCAGCCCTCCAGTGTTTACAATCCATGTCAAATCTAACCGTAAAACAGCAGTTGTGTGATTTTACAGCAGTTACAGATCAGTTCCAATACATCATTTTAACAAATTAAACTCAGTCATCACAGTTAGTGGCTGCATCAGCCTATCTCGGGGCATTATAAGAGTAATTGTTTGTCATTATGAATCCATCCTGAGAATGCACAAAGGAAGCTTGTGGCAAAACAGACCTGTTTTTCAGTGGCCTTGGATTATTCGCTCATTATCAGGGTTATTAAACGACAGTTCATACCTTCAGTTCTAGTTATGAAAATGAGCAGCAGTGAGCATTTGACTTGAAAATCTCAAATCACAGTCGAACCGCTGTGTTGAAAAGATGGCTAAACATTACAGCATGTCAGCCTCCTTGAGATGAAGACTGTATGATGATCCTTTAGCTAATACACACACATGCAAAGTGCGCAAATTTGCATAAATGTGACTGCAGTGCACAAAAAGTTTCAGTTACTCTCTGTATTTTAGATGTTTTAAAATGACTTATCCGATCCTAATAGGGATGTTTAAACATGAAACTGATGGAAAAAAATGAAGCCACATCTCCATATTTGCATGCAAGTGGCATGAGAGAAACTCCAACCACAATCATTCAGTGCGACCACATGATCACTTGCAATTCAGGATCAGTCATTTCAAACAATAGCACTCAACATTCATACATTTAATGCAGAATCGAAACCATGTGCTGCGTGGTTTAGCGATGGTCAAAGTGGAGGAACGTGCTGACAGCTCTAGATGGCTTTGAGTTACACATCAGCCCAGAATTACAGTGCCGAACTTGTAGATCTGGTTCTGTATAGAAAAACAGCCTTTGTTGCCACTGTTGGCATTTAGTCAATCGCATGTATTAAACTACCTCACAATGTTCGGCAGTCATCGATAGCCCTAAATAAGTACATATGGAGTCTGGGCTTTGGCTGGTCCTTTTGATCAGGTTGAGATTTTATTGGATTTTTGTTTCGCCTCTGACAGACGAGGCTTTGGGGTTTCGAGGCAGCTCGAGGCAGACTGCAGGCAGCCGGTGGGGTCATTTGAACCTTGTGGTTGCAGAGCAGAGTGCTGAGACACAAAGAGCCAACGCTGCGTTCACAAGTGTCCGACAGTGGGAGAGTCAGGAAGTCTGGCGACTGAAAACCCCACCCGACCGACGCCCCCCCCACACCACCACCCCCCACCCATCGCTCAGACATGCTCTAAGACAGGCCGAGCGAGCACTTCTGCACACGCTTGCAAGGACATTTGCGCTAATTGCATTAATTTTCTGCTGTCTGATGCAAATTTTCACCACAACTTTACCATATTTAACCCCAACCTTTACACAACCTGGGCTACGGCAGTGTCCTATAATCAAAAGGTTGGCAGTTCGATCCCCCGCCTTTCCACATGTCGAAGCACCTTTGGGCAAGACACTGAATCTGAAGTTGCTCCCAATGGCAGGCAGGCACCATGCATGGAAGCTGTGCCGCCACTGGTGTATGAATGGGTGAACGAGAAACACACTGAAACGCTCTTTGAGTACCACTAAAGTAGAAAAGCGCCATATAAGTGCAGACCATTTACTAACCTTAAGCTAGATGTCATAACTATGACTTAAACATACATTCATGTGTAAATCAAACCCCCCCAAACAAACCAAAAGGACCTATCACATTAGAAAGACAAAATCACTATTGTTAGTGCAACATAATTAATTTTCAGTGTTGTATGACTAATATGAGTAAACACAAGGTCAAAAGGGTGAAAATAAAGGTTTTTGATTTTTTATCACATGAGAGGAAAACAAAAAAATATTTGTTTCTGTTACATATTTTACTGAATCTCAGATGTACACAGTTAAACATTTGATTTTTAATAAGACAACAAAGAGTGTTGCCTAGAATTTCAGAATTCCTCATCATCATTGCCATCAATGGTGTGTTTGTACCTGTAAAAGTTTTGTATAAATGGCTTACATATTAACATTTATGTCTGTACAAGTGCACAAAAAAACAACAACAAGATAACAGGTGTTCCACTAAATGCCCATTCTTTAAAGATTGTAAAAATGGAGTCCACGTGTACAAACTTTTCTCTTCAAGCAGTAAAAATTATATGATCTTTCTTTATTTTAGGATTTGCTTGGTAGTAGGACTTGTAAATACAAACTTGAGGTCTCTTGATGATTTTGTCTTTTATTTGATTTTAATCAACATTAACGCCTCTTCACTCCAGATTTTACAAATATTACCAGCGCAACATTGCACGGCAGTTTTCAGGCACAAACTTAAATCTATAAGCTTATAAAACTAAGATCACAGCTATTTTTTAAAAAATACACCTTAATGGTTCTTCCAAGAGAGATTCTCAATCTCTGGTTAAATGAAAGTTAAATAAAATTCTAAACACATATATTCCACTCAAATAATATTCACAGAGCTTCCCTCATTAAAGAGGAATGTTTATTAAGACATATGTTGTATAACATTGCTTCCTGATATATTTTTTGTAGAACTTTTATTTGTGGCAGTTACTTTGCAGTAAAATGCTTTTCTTTATTCCACTACCTTGAATACTTCACACTGGCTGCACTCTCTGGTAATTTCATAGGATGTCGATCAGAATTTATATCCTGAATTGTATAAATCACAATTATATTAATGTCTAAGTTAAATGGGATCGACCTGTGAGATGCTGCCGTTGTTGGTTCCGTGCTACACACAGTTTAAATAAGAAAATTCCACTATAGGAAATCTTGATATATTTTTACACCAGCAATTACAATTTTGGTCTGAGTTGAATATACAAAAATGTAGTTCATCAGTTTTAAGTATGTATTAAACTACACAGGTGTAAAATACAAAATAGAAAAAAATAATATGTATAATTATGTCTGAATTTAAATAATAATAATAATATAGAGTATGTTTCTCTCCGTTTTTAAAGTTTAGTCACAACAGCTTCAGAAAATGAGCTTCAACTTGGCATCAGAGCAACAACTTCTTATTTCCTTTCTCCAAAGTATCCCTCGTTTTTTTTTGTGAACATGATGCGATACAGTACAGTTTACCATGCACACCGAAGGTAGACAGGAATTTAGTAGAAAAAAGCAGCAGATTTGTGGGCAGACTAAGTGGGTGAGTGAACAGGTTAACAGCAACGGGGCCTTGAATGGCTGTGACAGGGAGAAAGCAACGAGAGGCTCCAGCACTGAAGGGGGAAGTGACCCGGAAACAGTGAATAAGTGCAGCTTGCTGGGCCCTTTAGGAAAAACCTTTCGAGAAGCACTGATGCAAGTCTACCTAAATACATATTTCGACTTATTTCCCTCGCTCTGTCTGGAGAGATGCAATACTCAGATACACTCATGCACAGCAAAGAAAAAAGGGAAGTCTGTGTTTGGCACTTACAAACCTCCGAGAAACACTCTTCTTTCATTTGAGCCGAATATATTTCTTTTAAATAAAAAAACAAATGTTGAGGATAGATATGTGTCAGGCACATTCATATCCTGGTGGCTTCAGTGCCATCATCATAATGTCACGACTCGGTTCAGTTACTCCAGCTAAATGGCAAAGTGTTTGTTTTTCTAATCGGTTCGGATTTACTCATGTGGTTTAGAAATCTTACTACATTATGCTGTAAACTGATCAACAAGTGCTCAGTGTGTAATTGTGCAGTAGGGCAGTCATGGTTTACTTCTCCCATAAAGAGGCATTTCTATCTATCTATCTATCTATCTATCTATCTATCTATCTATCTATCTATCTATCTATCTATCTATCTATCTATCTGTGTGTGTTTTCCTTCAAAGGTAGAAAACAATTGAGGAAAAAAAAAAAGGCTAAATGTGAACAAAAAATGTATGTATTTTAGCAGAAATGCTAAAAAAACACAACAATACAAACAAAAACATGACAATTTTCGCGTTTGGTTTCAAGTAACAGCACATGAATTCTCCCCTCATGCTATCTGCTGTGAAAAACACGTATAACATAACCGAGTAGATGCATTTTACAGGCCGCAAAAAGGGACTGGAAAGTTTCTGTGGACCTTCAAAGACTTTTAACTGAATGTGAACGGGGACCTGATAATTACTGAGAACACAATATCATGCCAAAGATGTAAAAATAACTAATTTATTTAGATGAAAAATATAAATATGAACTTGTTGTGATGTGCATGACTCAATAAAGTGTATTGTTGGGGTGGTAATTAACTCAAACTGTGTGTTTAATGAGGTTGGGTTCACTTCTTATTTTCCTTTATTAGAAGGATATAAAAATTAATCCTGGATTTTTCCACTTCCAGTAACATTCTTTGGTCTATTCTTGCTCTTTACAGGCGATAAAGTGCAAGACCAGCAGACCGGTATTCACTTTATTTATCAGTCTGGCTCTGCAATGAAAAAACTGAACTCGAATTAAACAGCAAAAACACAACAGGAGTTTAAAAAATACAATGAATTTTTTTAAAAAAACTAACTAATCTGCAGGCTCCTTTGTTATTGCTCTTTTTTTTTAAAACTTGATATATTAAGTCAACACACCTTTTAAAAACAAAATCGCAAATATTACACATTTTATTGCAAAAGTCATCATTGCCATTAATGTAACTGTTCTCACAGTTTAACAGTCTCATGAAAGGTCAAGTGAAAACCTAACAACAATAATAAGGCCATAATATAAATACAAATGAAGTGTTGCTCCACACAAAACAGAATTCAGAGACCAAAAACCAAAGAGGTATTATTGCAAGGTAGCAAAGCTGATGCTGCGTTTATGGTACATTCATCCAGATGACGGTACTGCGCAAAGGAGAGGCTGAGAAATTCATGCACATTTTTCTGGAAACAAACTTTTTGGTGGAAGTTCTTTAAGCAGTAAAAATGCCATAATAAATATAATAATAATAATAATAATAATAATAATAATAATAATAATAATAATAATAATAATAATAATTTGGGGATGGACAAAGAAATGCATGCCTTTGATTAGTTGATATGTAGGACGTTAAGAAAAATTCTTAACTAAAAAAATAAAAATAAAAATATGTGTCAGTCATATGTAACGTCACATTGAGGGTGACTATATGTCAGAGTGTCCACCCACACACAGATTGTCAGTCTCCATCAAGCAAGCCAAAATATTTGCCAGTATTAGAGAAGTAGATGTAAGGCGCAGCGTTTGCAGTCGGGTACACGACAGGGAAAGGCATGGGTAATAAACATCCGCCCAGCAAGCTGCTGTCTTTGTAAAAAGTTGATAATTGCACATTTTTTCCTGCTTCTGAGAAGTGCTCGACGGCCAGCGGCCCCTCCACGTCCGTGGACAGCTGTCTCTTGAGCTTGTTGCGGCGGTTCTGGAACCAGATCTTCACCTGGGTCTCCGTGAGCTGCAGAGAGCTGGCCAGACACGCTCTCTCCGAGCTGCTCAGATATCTCTTCATGTCAAAAGTCGCCTCCAGCTGAAATATCTGTCTCTTGGAAAAGATAGTACGAGTCTTCTTTTTGACCGTGCTTTTGGTTTCCGCTGTGGTCTGTTGTTGTTGTTGTTGTTGCTGCTGCTCGGGCGCGTCCTCGGCGTTGTGCGCACTTGGCGCCCCGGGACAGGAGCCAGCGGGCATCGGCGACGTGTTGCCCCCGCGGTCCCCATGGACTCTGGGCTTCACTGTGAATGGAGCAACAAAATGAACAATAAAAGCACGCTTATTTTTCTGCAAACACATGCGAAGAAATTGCAGAGTGTATTTGGTGCTGCCAAATAAAGCTCCAGTTCGCGTGCGTAACCACGTTTCTTCAAATTATTGCAAAAAAGGCTTCGTTTTTTTTTCTATGTGGACCTTCATCAGCTTTAGATTCTTACTAATCACTGTAAACAAAGTACTTTAGGAGTCATTTAAGAGTTACCTGTCGCCTGTGTTCCGCCGTCGTGCCTCTTCCGGACGTCCCACACCTCCTCGTAACGCGCTTGAAAATCATTTTTCTGCTCTTTCAAACTTCCCAAATCTCCGCCGTCCCGCTGCTTCAGGTTGAGGATGTTGTCAATGGTGAACGTCAAACTCCGACTCGAGGCATCGTCTTTGCTCATGTTCCCCGGCATCTCATTCAAGATCCTCTGAGGTTCTCGAAACACCGACGTCTCCGGACGCTCCGAGCACCATTGCGCCTCGGCTGCGTCTAGCGCGCACAAGGAGCCGGTGCGCCTTAATTCAACGACCCGGAAGACTTGCGGTTTAGCAGCTTTTGATTGGTGAGGTTGTGGGGCAGATGAGGGCGGGATGCAGATTTACGTCTGTCTGCCATGTTGTAGCTTTGCACACTTTTCTCCAATTTATGCGTTTGCTGCACAAATCAAGTTCATTACATTTTCAGAGAAGCTGTGGATATGGTGGCCTATCATTATTGATTAGGCCGCTTTATAGCCAAACTGGGGGATTTCCAAAACGGATGCAGTCTCAGGACATCTCTTTGACTGGAATCATAAGATTTATAGAACTTAAAAATAGATTCAGGAGCCACATGCCATAAAAGTTTTGTTTCACCTCATGCCCCAGCAAATGTCTTAAATACAACAACCTCTCATATGAAACCCTTATTTTAACTTCTTACTTGTTCCTATAAAAGCATCCACCATTAGTTTCTTTCCAAAAAAAAACAACTTAAATATATACCAAATACAGCAAACTGGTAAGAAACCACAAAACAAAACAACTTGTGCATTCATTTTATTTATATGTGAACATATGTGTACAAAAGTCTGTATTAAAATCATCTTAAATAAAAAAAATGTCCCAGTCAGTCATTATTGCTAATAATCTATCCCTGCTCACATCTATCAAAAGTCAACAAGAAATGCCTTTTTAAATATAATCTAGCTTCTACATTTAAAGACCAACTCAACCGTACCATGCATAATATTCCCAAGATGTGTGGACTCAAATAAGGGAAAAAAAAAAAAAGTAAACATGTGGGTTGAAAGAAAATGCTTCTGGGAATGTGTGATTAAAGTTTGAAAGTAGTAGTAAGTACTCTCATTTTTATTTATTTTAATGTAAACTTTGACTTTTGGCTTTGATTTTTGATTCATCTTTGTTTTGGATTCATTTTAGTTTCTCTCACGCCACATGTTTTTTTAAAAATACATCATTTCTGAACATTATATTACAAACTGACAGTCATGAGTCTGTATGTGTGGAAAAAAACAACACAAAACAGAGCTATACTTGGAAACAGTGTGGCTTTCTGTGAAAAAGTCCTCAATGAAACACTGAGGGATAGTTTAAATAGTCCAAAAATATCCATCATCGTCATCACATCTCGCACTGAATCTCAAAAATGACTTGTGCCTGCACTCAGGTGGAAAATGGGACCTCTAGAAGTTGGATTCTAAAGTAGTCATGGTCTGTTAGATGAGTAACTTAACCTGAATTTGCCTGAGTTGATTGAAGTTGCCTCCAGAAAACGCTCAAAAGAAAAGGTTAAATACCGAATGAATTACCCCCCAGAGCATGAGAAGAGCTTCTGACTTCACAGAATCCCAGAGTGAAATGTGTGCAGCACTTTTATTTGATCATTTGAGTCACAGATTAAACAGGTCTCTTCGCTTTTAAACTCACACCAGTCCGGTCATCTGTGGTGTTAGGAAGGACACTGTGTGGGCAAAATGACCAGTCAAGGGGTAGTTGATAGAATTTGAGAAGCCAACTACTGGTGGAGACACGTTGGGCAGGCCGGCCAGCGTCACAGGCGTGCCGACGCTCTCACGATACAGCACGGGAACTCTGACGACCCTCTGCGGTGCGAAGGGAACGACGGCACCGCCGGCTTCCATGTCTGCCGCGATCTGCCGCTTCCACTTGTTTCTGCGATTTTGAAACCAGATCTTCACCTGGGTCTCGGTGAGCTGCAGCGAGGCCGCCAGCCCAGCTCGCTCCGAGCTGCTCAGGTAGCGCTTCAGGTCGAAGGTGGACTCCAGCTGGAACACCTGACTCCGGCTGAACACAGTGCGTGTCTTTTTCTTTCGCGCCACTTTCATGTCACCTGAAATCGAGAGAGTTTTTACTCAATGTAAATTCAGTCAAATGCTAACTGGGTGGCTTTGATGGAGGGTATAAATTTCAATTACTGCATTCAGTACAACACCATACAACGGTTATTGAGAACGTCACTGCATCCTTTATCTCTAAACACGTCACATTCCCTCTGACAGCAGAATTAGAGTCACCACCTTCCGGCTGTCTGTCTTTGCCAGCCAGTCAAGCTGCAGTTTACTTTTAAAAGTGGAAGTTAATTGAGAAAAACAACCAAAAAGAGTCAAATTCTTCATTTGGGCGGTGTCGTTCTCTGCACTCACCGCTTGCTGCTACACCACCAGGACAGCAGTGTGCATGCGCAGCACATTTATGGAGCACCTCCTCTAAGCAAACTGCTAAGTAGCATAACAACAACTACTATCCATGATGTCTGCAGCTGTCTGTAAGTAAGGTTTAAGTATTCATGCTTGGCCCATTGAGCTGATTTTAAAAACAAAGTGGCAGCCATGACAGTACATGGTTCCCATATGAATGTAAAAGCGAGGCTGACCTTTGACCTTATGGATATAAAACATTCATTATTTTAGCATTTTAGACATTTGTCAGAATTCTACTTAACATCTGAATTCTTGAGTTATGAGTTCACAGTGACCTCTGACCCTAAACATCTTCAGGCTTCACCACATGTGTGCCAAACTGATGACAATTCCTCAAGATGCAAAACCTGAAAAAATATGGACCACATGCAACACTTGATACCCCCCATCACTAACAAAATGCATCAAACCAAGACGTTCCAAACATGTTGGAAAAGGAAGAAAACAACAGTTCTGTCAGAGGAAGCGTTTCACTATCTGTGGAATTCTTATGATCGAGCACAGATGGGTTTTTAAGGGTTAGGATTTAGCTTGGTGTCCTTTTGCCTCACCTGTGTCGCTGCTGTCCTCTCGAGAGACGCAGGAAGAGCGCGCATCTTCCCTGTCATCGACACTGTCGCCCCCCTTCTCCGCCGTTTCATCGCTCTCCTGTGCCTGCCCTATGAAAGTTGGGAAATTCCGCTCGCTGTTTGGCGTCACTGTAACCGAGTAGCTGCTTTTGCATAATGGACCTGCGAGGAATAGCGTGGAAAAAAAGAAACTTGCTTTAGCCTAAATGGCCCGACACATACTGTGGGGGGTGAGACTTGCTGTGTGGATGCCAATTACTACTTCTTCTTGTAGATTTGGAAGTTTTACGCACGGGGTTAGAGACAGTAAACGTGTTCCAGGCCATGTGTCATATTAACTTGCGGCCTATTGAAACACCAAAATAGATTTTCAGGTTAAATGTTAGAGATTTAGTGAGGTGTGATGTTTTTCTTTTTGAATAATTTAATGATGTGTGTGTTACCACTGCGCTTGGAATTTTTTTTTAACCGATTGTCTGACCTGTAAAATACATATTTATTTTCTGCAGATTATTTTAGCATGTTGCAGGTTTTTTTGTGGTTATTTTGGTGGATTGAAGCAAGCAAATCAATCGACTTTCGGATGAGAACTCACTGCTTGAGCTGCTGTACACAGTGTTTGGAAATGTTCTGCTCCAGTTCAGCGTCTCGTTGTCGCTCAGACGTCCCGTTTCCAGGCCGGGGCAGAAGACGGGGTTGTGAACGGCAGCTTTAAAAGTCTCCACCCGCTCCTCAGCCGAAGAACCTCTGCCTGTTGTCCCCAACAGATTCTCGATGTAAAACGACGAACCTCTCGACGGAGCACCGAATTTCGATCCTGGCGGTTTATCGTCCAGCATCTTGACTTTTCCAATCTCTCGTCCAGCTCCCCCCTCTTTTCTTTTTTTTTTTTTTTTTAATAATCTCCAGATGGGAAAATTATAAAATCACCAAGCTTCTTATTTCTTCCCAGGAGGGTCCTGTGCTCCGCGTAAGCCATCCCGACGCGATCCATGAGAGGACAGCGCGCTGCAGCTGCAAAGGATCCAGATCAGAAAAATTCGTTTTGGGTTTGAGTTGAAAGCAAAGAGGAATTACTCCAGAAAAAAAAAACCGTCTCGTTCTTCAGAGCATTTCTTGTCGGCTGTGTGATAGTCTGCCTTGCGGAACCACAGAGATGCCGTATTTAGGTCAATTGGGGCGCAAAGCAAAGCAGAGATACGGTGTTGTCCTCGGGGCTGGAGATAGAGAAAGCTTCATGAAGAATGGCACAGTACCGCCTATTGGTTACATTTGACCATGCACATTTTATTTCCCTGTGCGCACTACAAATCTGTTATTCTCTTCCCAACGCTCGTATTTCTGACTTTAGAAAACTTTTTGAAATATATACATAATCCCTCCCTCGACAAAAATGACATTTTCCTCACGTTGTTAATTATTTAAGCTTTACTTGTTTGCTTTTCCATCAGAGAAAAATAAGGACGACTTAACAGTGTGAGAGGCCACATGGCAACTTTTCCTTAATTTTGTCTACTCAGTTAAAAAGCAAGAAAAAAAACAACATATCAAATAAAGCCAGAAACGAAATATACTTTACCGAGAAGTATGAAAGTGTGGGACTTTGGATATATATTCAAATGCTAAGACAAAGCCGGTGTTACTAATGTACAGGCCAGATTATTGATCATTTAACCTGAAAAACCTAGTTGACTTTTTTTTTTTTTTTTTTTAAACATTTATTTATTTATTTTTATTAACAATAATTGTGCGTAATTTCGTCCACTTTTAAAGTTGACTGTAGCTGAGTCTCCACAATAGGTCCAAAATTGTTAGATAATTTTTCAAAAATCTTTAATTTAATGTTTTAAATCTTCTCCTTGAGGTGAGCACGTGGTTTAATATCTGCAGCTTTTCCTTTATTTACATTCGTTTCCGGTGCGTAAATGTCACCAGAAGGCAAGATTAAAGGCATTTAATTAATAATTTGTGTCTGACAAGCATATTGTACACACAGAATTAAATTACTACTCACTTTTTTTTGCTCATTTAAAAATCCCTGTTGGATATGCATGTGTTTTGAATTTCAAATGTTTACGCACTGGACAGGAAATATGAACAATTAGTTGAATCTTTAACATCCCGGTGAAGCGCAATGAGGGGAAACAAGTTTATTTATGCTATAAAAAAAAAAAACAGAAAAGCCTAGTCTATCACTCAAACAAACACATTTTATGCACCTTATATTTAACAGTATATATTTATTTTTAAGTACAACTTTATTTGATTGCTTTTAATAATTTATTTCCAAATTACGCACCAAGTCCCCACGCATGCGCTTTTAAATATGCGAGTTTGAAACATTTATTCCTCCTTTCGTAGGTTTAAAGGACTGATCAGTGGGTAAACTTGTAGCCAGTAGCTTCACCACAGGCCTCAACTGATAGGCTGAGACAGAGGTATTTCACCACGGTTAGGAAATCGTTTCAAAGCCCATGAACGCTAGATTATACATGGAGAAATAATGTATCTTGTATTGAGAACGCCTGAATGCCGGCCTGACCGTGTGTTCCAGCTTAAAATGAGTTCATTAATGCCGAAAGTGGAAAATGTTAAGTCAGCGACGAAACTGTGAACAGTGGAGTAAAACAGTTTGGAGTTGTAATAGGATTTAGACACTGTGAAAAGCTTGCTTTCATCTGTAAGCAGCCTTGGACAAATGCTCAGAACATTCCAGGCTGCAGGTTTACGAGCGACATGTTGATCAACTTTACTGAATCTCCTCAATTATTATTATTATTTTTAAATAAAGAAGCTCCGCAGAACACAACCATAAATATTAATAAAAGTCAGAAATCAGGAATAAAAGCACAATCAGTGTAGCGAGCAGAGATCTCACACTAAATGTTCACAGTTCCTCTCAATAAAGAAGCAACTAAACTGACTTGTTTTTAAAAGCCTCTTTGCAAATAATAGCCTTTAATGCTCTGGAGTGGAGTGGAACACCTCCACAGACACTTTGGAATGAATGACATCATTACATAAAATATAAATATGCAACATTAACCAGCATGTCAGTGCAGCACAAACAATACACAAGTAGGATATTGTGACAATTTAAATGGAAAAACTGTTGATTTTTATCCCAATCCGACACCATTTAAGGCTGTTTATTCATCTACTAATGAGTAATATTTTGTCCTTGAATGAATAAATAAATGAAGTTTGTTTTAAGGAAATTGTACACAAGACAAAACCTTTCATGCTTAAGTCCCCATGAAGATTTAGCTTCACTCATTATACAACTATATTCTTTAGGTGTTTCTGTATAGCATGAGATATTATTCATTTAAACAAGTGAGACAATTAAATGTGATTTATTATGCATGTAACGTCTACACAGAGAAGAAAAACAAGGAATTCATAGGTCTTTATAGAATAGAATAGAATAGAATAGAATAGAATAGAATAGAATACACAAAGTACAACAAAATTAAAAGACAACTCCTGTGGTGCAGAAGTATAAAACTAAAAGTATAAAAAAGACTAATAAGAATATATACATATATTTACAAAAGGAGTCAGTAGGAGTATATACAGTTTATTCTACCAGATGGTAGAATAAACAACAACAACAACAACAACAACAAAAAAACTCATTATATAAAGTCTGCTCCAAAAAGAGCTACAACATCATGACACCATCAATAAACAAGGTTTTTGCACAATAAACTTCCACCATTTATTCTACCAGATGGTAGAATAAATATATTTATGTGAGACCACCAAATCTCTTAATATGTCAAGTTCATGAAGGTGCTGCTGTATATATATATATATATATATATATATAAGAAGTTGGCGAAAAAAATAAAAAATAAAACTCAGCTTCCACTCTACCTTGTCTCAAGCTGTGAAATATTTTTATGTTTTTATCATTTCATCCTTCACATGTATATGTCAATAACAGCCACTTTGACATCATTTTAAATTATATTCGATCATTTTTTTCTGAACCCTTGTTTGATTTCTTAAACTATTTACTGCAGTTGTGTTGCCAGGCACACATAGTTGGACTGTGGTCTTCATACTGAAGTGTCTGCTGATGTATGAAGTGGAAGCACAGGGGTTCATGAAGGTACATAGGGACATCGTCAGAGAAATTAAATTACCTTCATCCTATTAACCTTGAACTCTGAGCCATAAAAATGTGGAGGGCCTTCTTGTGAAGTTGTTTAAAAAGCGCCTGCAGGAGAAGCTGTGCCATCCCGTTACTCTAGGATGCAGAACCTTTCCTTTCTGCTTACTTTTTTCTTCTCCCTCAACGTTGATTCGGACAGATGTTTTCGTGTCAACTTGTAGGTAGCTAGAAATGATCTCATGCCACTTTGCCAACAGCAACACTAACTGTAATACTTCCTGTCCTGTCTCGCCTCATTTTGAAGCGCTGCACAGGGAGCACGTTGGAGACCTCTTAATTGAGGATGGCACTGCAGCCTTCAGAAGCCGGAGATGATGCAGCGAAGAACTTAACCTCTAAAACTCCTGTCTTTGTCTGATTTCAAGCAAAGAAACGTTTTGATTTCATTCCTTAAGAGATGCTCAGTGATGCTCATGTCATGCACTTTATTTCTCCTGCATTGGAACTTCCTGGATTTTTACTTGTGCAATAAAAACATTATCTTATATAATTAAAATGCACTTTGCAAAATAATTGTAAGCTGCATTGAATTGGTTTGGCTGTTGATAAAATTGACATTTTATCACAATAAATTCTGTTCAGTGTGTATTTTCATGTAAAACCTTTGTTGTTGGATAATTGTAGTGCACTCAACATTTAAACTCAGCATGTAAGCAGCAAAACATTCATCTAAAACTGCCCTCAAGTACCTCATTTAACCCATTTTCTTGCCACTTTTCTTTAAACATATATAATTCCTAACAAATCAAGTCCTTTTAAAAAGCCACAACCTTATGGGGAGACTGTGCCAGACGACAAATCTTTACTATCCTGCTTATTTCCTTGATAACCCAAAGACAGCTCACCCACCATAAAACCCATCATGAGTCTATAGATGCCATTCTAATCCTGTATCATTACTATGTTTGCCTTTCCATACGCACGATGGGAATCCCTGTAGCACGCTGGAGATCCTCCACATCATTATTTCGGGCACTATAAGGGGGCCACTGTTGATGCAAGCTGTTGAGGTCAAAGCCTTGGCCCAGAATACAAGAGTGTATATGAGGTCAGAGAGGGCCAGACATCTTAGGCTGGCCTTAACAGAGCCAGTCAACCAGAAGCCCCCTTTATGCCACATCGAGCATGGACTTATTGACAAATTGGTCCGGTTTTCAGGCTCTCCTGTAACCCCTCGCCTCATTTTCTCCAGCTTCCTTATTCAAAACACTGAATTTCTACCCATCAGATGAGATTTTAAACATGCTGTTTCCCTGGCAGTTTGTGTCAAACAGGTCAACGCCGAGCCCTGCGTGAAAACAGACCTCCGGGCTCCTTGCTGTCACTTAAACAGAAAATAACTCTTAATCTGCATTTTCTACCTGCTCAGAAACTCCAAAAAGAACACTGCAGATTACAACCATCGAAACTGACACATACTTCTCCTGCTTAATCCCTATTAGCCCTCACCTCACTGCACCCCCGAGCCCGATTCATTGCAACAAACCAAAAGGCATTGTGGGAGCTGTTTGGTTTATTGTGGAAAAAAAGCTTTTGCAGTCTCACACTCATAGACAGATAAACTTGTTGTTTTAGTTTTTTTCTAACTTGGGTGTTATCTCACAGAGCCTGAAAACAAGGATCATTCAAGACTTGGCTGAAGTAAACTATTGATGCGTGTTTGTTTAACCCTTAAATGGCAAATTAA